GCTTTCCTCGAAATCCCAAACACACGGACATGGAAAACTTTCATTGTGTGCAATACCAGTGGCACAGGGAGAGGGTAAGATTTACCCACGATCTGGCAGCACTGTCTTACAGTCCATTATAGGAAGCCTGTGAATACATATCGAAATCAAAGGAGTTAAGCTAAGTTAGTTAAGGAACGTAAGCGAAGCGAGCGAGAGGTGAGATCTTTCCATTATATACATTTTATATTGACGGTATTTTCCCGCGTGGTAATACCACGTGGTGGACTCTCATTTTTATAATTAAATATCATCCAGCAATTTACATTTCTCCTAGTCAATCAATAAATACAATTATTGAATTCATCCACGAAAATTTAATAACGTACACGCAAAAAGATTACAATACAATTCCAATGATTTTAAGTGGGGATTTTAATGTTAATTTTTCATTAGCTACGGCTCTCCCTTTAATTGAATTCTTGATCACAAAATAATATTTAAAGATGTGCAGCTGTCGCACTGAATCTACAACAAGATCAAAAACAGTCATTGACGCTGTATTTCAAAGATATATTGATACAATGGAAACAAAAACATTTATTTCATACTTTAGTTACCATAAGCCACTCGTGTCATTTCTTGAAACTGAGAACTTGGAGTCTGGATAAAATATGATGTAATGTATTTTTATGTCACGGCCTAGGTTGCCTTCGAAGAATAAATTTCCTTTTTACGGACACAAAGAAGATATGGACAGTCAAGAAGTAGCAGCTATCCCGTAACAAAACAAAAGTTAGATTTTGTAATTATTTTGAAAGGTGAGATGGTAAAGCAGTTTACCTTTTATTTTTACACCTTTTAGTTTATAAAAAGTATAAGGTTAACATGATTGGCAGGGAGATTGTAAATCAAGGTTATCTTTGAGAAGGACATTTACGCGGATACAAAGAAGATATGGACGGTCAAGAAGTAGCAGCTATCCCATAACAAAACAAAAGTAAGATTTTGTAATTATTTTAAAGATGATTAGTTAAATTCGGTTAACTTTCCTTTTTATGTCTTTTACCTTATGAAAAGTATTAAGTTGATACGCTGAGCATGGAGAATGGAAATCTAAGTCATCACTGAGAAGGGCATTTACACGGATACAAAGAAGAAAAATACGGTGAAGGAGTTGAGTATCTAAATCGAGTTCGTCATTAGAATACGTAATATTCTAGGAGCTCTCCCTTTCGGGTGGAGAAAGTTAAAAGAAAAAGCATCTTAATTTCTGGTTCTGACGACCTCATGGAGGTTTTAACGCCATGGTTTTCCCTTCAGGCGGAATGAACTTAAACTCCGGGTGAATACCAGGTCGATGTGTGGTGTGGAGGAGGCCATGGCAATGTATGTCGCCTCTATGCTGACTGTGCAGTACAAACACTATTTGATGCTGTATACATCGATATATCAAAT